GCAGTAATTAGTAATTACGACGCTCTTCATCTCTGCTCCATTATCAGAATCAATTAATAAGCACCGATTCATAATAAATTCAGACTATAAAACGAAGAAGATGAACACAAACTCGATGCTTCTAGTTTTCGTTTTCATACATTCATCCCGCACTTAGAAATCAGAGAAATTACACAAAATTGATGAACAATCAGAGAAATTACAGCCAAGAAACCAATACTCCAGTTCAAAATTCATTCCCCTCCACCAAACACTCTTTTCAAATTCAAAATTACAGACAAGAAAAAAACCTAAGAAGTCAGAATATACCAAAAATTTAACCAAGAGGATATTAGAGATGGATACCTTTCCCCGAAATTCCATGGAACTAGCGCGGATAACTTCGTAACTAAGCGAACGAGGAAATGGATATCGGATCAGAGCTTTTCGTGAAATACATGACGGCGATGATCGGAGATTCGAAGAGTGCGAGCGGATTGTGAAGAATCAGTCGCTGGAATATTCATTTCACCGGCCCGATGGTCGTCGCCGGTGAAGATGATGATTAAGATACAGAAGTTTTGCAGGGATTTTTATGATTCTCAAAAGGCGGATTGTGGAGTAAACAAAATTGGGGCTGGACTTCTTTATAACAATTTCAGATTGCTGACTGGGACTGTTTAGCCACGTCATAACCCCATGGCATGTGTTATTTTTCATTTTTATAATGCAAGAATTGATGACGTGGAGGGTGAACATATTACGCCGATGTAACGTGGCGGTTTTTTATTCGTTGTGAGTCAATTATATTGAATTTACGCCAATGCCCTTAGTTCTAGTGGACTGTTTGATGACCCTCTGTACCGGGGTAAAATAGTAAATCGCTCGAAAGGTCCAAATAAAGTATGACAGTACGAGATAATTTGTTTATTAATTTTTAATCATGGTAATTTTTTCTTACCCATTTTTTAATTTCAAAAAATATTTGACAAATATTAATATTTAACACATATTTGCACTTTTAATATTATATAAAACTAACCTCTAATTTGTTTAAAACTTTTTAGTGTTTTATTAATACTCATCCATTTTTATAAGTAATATTAAAAAATTTAGAGATAATTGTCAATACATTGATAGTAATAATTTTTTTTAACTTTTTTATAAATGTAAATGATGTTAATACTGCTTCTAAAATTTGAGGGTATCTTTCTTAGAGTTATTATTATTAATTTAGTCTAAAATTTAATATTATTAAATAAATTTATCTCTTGAAAAATTTTAAATTATTTAATAAATTTTTGGTCTTAATTTTAATTTAGTCAATAAAGATTCAGAGCAAAATACAATGAGAAAATAATTTAAAAAATAGAAAAAAGTATTAATTTACTTTATATTATAGGAAATTTAAAATCTTTGAATTTAGAAAAAAAGCTTTAATTTTCAAAAATTAAAAATGAACTATTTTTGTAGGATAAAAGTTTTACATACCCTTTTGACCGAATATTAAGCTAAAGTTAAAACTATATTTGTATTTCTATTATATATAAAAACAAAAAGTTATTAGTTGCTTTTTTTTTTTTTTTTTTTTTTTTGAAATTATGATTAAAACTAATGAAATAGGTTTCCATTAAAGGGGACAAAAATTCAGCTTTTTTCAAATGTAATTATTCTTTTTTTGTTAAGATAAAGTCTTTCACTATCCATTGGTATTATCTGTCAATTACTTATTGATTTTAGTGAAGAAATTAATAAAAGTTATAACCATAATGAATCCTTGTTGTTATTATTATTATTATATAATTATTTATTAATATGTTTATTACCAAATTTCTTCAAAAATTCTTATGTAACGTACAAAAATATAAATTAGGTAAATGTAACAACCTTCCAACATTTGGGAGATTTCCGCACTCTTGTAATAAATGTTTTGTTCCCCTCTCAAATAGATGTGGGATCTCATCTTAAAGAGAACAATATCTGCTAGCGGTGGATCTGGGGCGTTACAAATGGTATCAAAGCCAGGTTACCGGACGATGTACCAGCCTTCTCGCTATTCTCCAAAGAAGGGTAGACACGAGGCGGTCTGCCAATAAGGACGCTGGCCCCAAAGGGAGGTGGATTTGGGGACGGTCCCACACCGATTGGAGGAAGGAAAGAGTGCCAGTGAGGACGTTGGGCCATGAAGGGGGTTGATTGTGATGTTCCACATTGGTTGGGGAGGAGAACAAACCACCATTGGCGTGGAAACCTTCCCTTAGTAGACACGTTTTAAAGCCTTGAGGGGAAGCCCGAAAGGGAAAGCCCAAAAAGGACAATATTGGCTAGCAGTGGATCTGGAGCGTTACCAGACTTTTTTTAAAAAATAAGGAGACAAGATTATCGATGCCAACTTAATTAGTGAGCTCGTTCTAATGATATACTTAGTTGAATAATTTATTGATTAAATTTCGTATCTTAACCTCATCATTCCCAAACTTCAAAAAGATTTTTCGAACATGGGATTGTTATTTGCTTTTGAGACTCAATCTCCCTTTATATTTACTAATATATTAACTTTTCGACTGGTTCGGGACAAGTTGCACGCTTTACATTATATATTATTTACAATAAACTATTCCTTATTGATTGATCCAATAATTATGGTTATCAAAGTAATTATAACTTAGCTAACATAAATTTAGACTTGTCCCAAAACGAAGCGAAAATTTTTAATTACAGAGAGGGTGGAGAGAGATTATTCTCCATCAGCTAGATCGAGATATATTCTTTTTTCTTCAAAGTATTGAAACGATTATACTATTAAAATTTAAATTTTTAAAATCCTCACGAGATCCCCACAAACAATAAATGAAGAATTTCAGGAGGCTAAATAATGAAACAGAAGATTGTTCCGTGTCTTCTCCAAGTGCTTTTGACGTCATAAAAAGTTGAATATATAGTAGTTGTTCTTATTTAGATTGGGCTTCATCCTCGAACCACTCAGTCCTTCCTCGACCTATACAAGAGGCTGATGACCAAAACCTAAATGTACTAGAAGTGATCATTGATGGACATTAGCCATCAAAACCCTAAATTAGATCAATTCTCACGAGAAAAAAAATAGAACCAACGGAAAAACTTACCCTAAATAATAAAATGAAATTTTTAGGAATTGAATTGAATGAAACACAATTTTAAAAGGTTTTACCGATGAGATCATTAGGGTTTTGAATTTAAACTTTAGTAAATAATATTAACCCTAAATTATTTGTGGTTTTAAACATAGGAAATTTAAATATTGTAACAACCGTCCAATTTTTTAGAGTTTATTTATTAATAATACTAATGGCTTAACCTCAGTTATTAAAATATATTATATATATATATATTTATTTATTTATTTATTGATAGCGAAATATATTGTTACATCATCTCTCGCTAATATAATATAGGCAATCAAATCCTATTTTATATAAATCATGTGACAGCTTGAAATATTATTAACAGTGTCTATATGCTGTAAGCAGCGTCTAGGCATGATGAAAAAACGTAACATCGTTTTTTTTAGTGTTTCGAGTGAGACACTACAAATACATCTCAACGTCATCTTAAATAGCGTTTCAACGCCCTCACACTTGAGTTTTAGGCTTCGTTCCCTTTTCTCTTTGCTCAATTTCTTCAATTTTAGGCTAATTGCTCATATTTTTTTTCAGTATAGACCCGTTGTTACTCTATTTAGCTATAAGTGCTAAATTTTTATAAAAATAAACAATTAAGGGTATCGCTCGGGCAAATGTATACAAATTATTAGCAGATATAGTCTTTTGTGGGCTTTTCCTTTCGGACTTTCTCTCAAGGCTTTAAAACACGTCTGCTAGTGGAAAGTTTCCACACTCTTGTAAATGGTGGTTTGTTCTCCTCCCAACTAATGTGTGACATCACATTAGGTCCGTCAATAGTGAAATAAATTAAGAAGGGCGATATTAGACGTTTTTTAATTAAAAAATAATAAATAAGTTTGAAGAGATCAGTGTGGGCCGATCATAAGATGCCAAATATATGAATAAAAATCACATCAATCATCTGAAGAAAGCAAGAGATTATTTTAATATTTTAATAAATATAATTATCTTATTTCAATATTAATAAAATCACCGTATTGAATTTTTAATGTTAAATAAATTAATATAAATTACCTCAAAATCATAGCCAACCAGCAGTTGACATGTGGCTGTCAAAGCTACGTCCAGCATCGTTTTCTCTCTCTCAAATAATATAATAATTATCGAAGTTATTCAAATTGTAATTAATATTTAATATCAAATAATTTGATGGATTAATCTCATTTAATTAACATAGATTTATTATTTATTACTCAAAATTGTCTTTTTTTTTTTTTTTTTTTTTTTTTTTTTTAATTTGGGCTGGCTTGGGATGGTGATTTGGGCTTGAATGGAGAAAAGTGAAAAAATGAACTAAAATTGAAAAATTGCAACCATAATAATAATAATTATTATTAATTTTTAGCCCTAGGTGACGAAGAGCCAACATCAAGGTACCAAACTTTCTCGTCGATGTGAGCTCTTGAAGAAGATTAGTCTGTTATCTCTATAATAACTTTTATCCGTTGAGCGATAACCCTACCCGAGAAAACCTTTACATGCCTTTGTTTTCTGTTGGGAGGCCTACGTTGCATAGAAACTGTCTATCTGAAACTGTCCCTTGGCTCGTAGGTCCTAATACAAGGTTAGAATTCTCCTCTAAAGTGGTATCTCACTGATAGCTCGACTCCAAAAATTCGCAACCAACAAGTTCCAAAAAAAAAAATATATCCGCTTTTTGTTTGAAGGATTTACATTTTCCCACATGTTTTTTTTTAAAAAAATTAAAAATGTAAAAACTATAAATAAATTCAATAATATTTCATTTATTGATTATACAATACTCAAGTTAAAACAAAGAGAAGCTTTTAATACCAAGAATGATCAACTACAAATCACTTAGAAAAAGAACACTTTTTTATCAATCAAACGCCGAAATACATAATATTACGTATTAATATCTAAAAAAATTACATAAATAGCACGTACACCATGTTTGTTCATAGAACATTTATCTGATACCCATAAAAACACTACAGAGAATAAGAAGAAATAAACCAAAATGCTCAAAAGTTCAACTAAACGTTTCAGATAGGGTCGAAGGAGAAAAACCTGAAGCTCGAGTCGAGTCGATCTCTTATCCTAGCAGCTAAGTAACAGATCCAGAGGCTTAGATTAAGTCAAATAGTTTGGGGGAATGAAACATCAGAGCAAGCAAGCACATTACAGAACCCCTCTTTTTCTTATGGAACATTCATTACTTGAATAGACTGCAGCATGTCTGATACAGCAAGTACAAGGTCACCTGATTTTATCAAGTTTCTGGCTTTAAGCAGCATAAACGTTTTGTTGAGGTTGTTTTCCATGTCGTCCGAGAAGCTCAAGCGGAAGGGTATCAAGCCCCATTGCAAGTTAAGACGTCTCCTCACAGATGTCGTGGAAGTAAACGCAAAGATCGGGCAATCGGGTCTGCAACGGGATAGGAGAGATGCCATGTGGCCTGTCTTTGTGTAGACAAAAATTGCATCCACCTCCAAATTATTGGCTACAGAAACAAAGCTCACAATTAGACTGGAATAACCAAACCAACAGGAGAAGTGCAATAAAGAACTGAGGGAAAGAAGATAGTAGCGTATGACGACGCCCGACTCAACCAACCATCTTCAATGCTCGCTTTTTTTTTTACGTCTGTGAGTGTTCGATCCAGTTTGTATACACTTCGACTACTCTCTCGAGATAACCACCTGACCCTACTACATTTGATTCCCTCTAAACAATCTATGGTGATTCAATATTGGCATTGTAACACAGCATAACAATCACTTTTGTAAAAACGATTTGAGATAGTATTCGAGTTCTTAGTACTAAAGCATAGATCTAAACTGTAATATAGGTATATGATCCATAGCTGGAGAATATGATAAAGCTTACCCATTTTGGCGGTGGAATTGCAGATCTCTTCTAAGATGCTATCCGAGTATGAAGATCCAACTTCTGGGAGTTCCATAGCTTCATGGCGTTTCTCATCCCTCCACCACTTCTCAATTCTTAGACTGACGCTTCTCAAGACGGTCAATGCCTTCTCGGGGAACTGGCCCATGGCGGACTCACCAGAGAGCATTAGAGCATCTGCTCGCTGCCTAACAGCCTCGGAAACATCAGCGACTTCAGCTCTGGTAGGTGTAGGGTATTCGATCATCGACTCGAGCAGCTGAGAGGCAACAATAACTGGCTTATTTAACCGCCTGCATAGTTGGACGACCTTTTGCTGGACTGATGGCACCTGTTCCAGTGGTATTTGAGCTCCTAAATCTCCTCTGGCTACCATAGCTCCATCAGATGCTACAATAATTTCTTCCAAGTTCTTCAATGAGTCCAGACTCTCTATCTTCGCAATGATGGAAATGTCACTGCATAACAAATTTATAAACACAGATATTTCGAAGGCGCACATATCATTTAGAGATAGAGATGAAATTCAGATTTGGAGTGAAAACGTGGTCATCGACTACCCCATCTGCACCTAATGTAACAGCCCAAATCCACCACTAGCAGATATTGTCCTCTTTGGGTTTTTCCTTTCAGGTTTCCCTTAAGGTCTTTAAAACGCGTCTGATATGGAGAGGTTTCTACACCCTTATAAAAATTGTTTCGTTCTCCTCTCCAACTGATGTGGGATCTCACACCTAACTTGTGAATCAGTGATATACTAAAACATAGTTGAGATATATTTGATCCCCCTAAAACCGTGAGAACCAACAATTACACCCACAGCTTCAAAACCAAATGGTAAAGAAGAAGATTAAATCAGCAAACTCGCACAATTCTGCTTACCTGCCACGAGAACGTGCAGCAATATAGCTTTTGAGATGTTTAATCACTTCAGCAGACTTCACAAATGATATGGCAAGAAAATCAACACCTTCAGAAATCCCAAAATCAATATCCAACCAATCCTGGATTCATAAAACTTGCCTTAGACTGGAAAACAAGTCACTGTATCAGGGCAAGTTACGCCATTAGGTTGCACAAAAGGTTAGCCATCAAATCTAATGAGACGATGATCCACATACAGATGCAATCATTCGGTTGCATAAAGAGTTTAGGGTACGATATTATTACCGCTGACCGCATTAAACATGTCCTCCTAAAATTTATGGTGCAAATCATAATTTTCTCTACAATTAGCTTTCAACTTAAATCTAGTTACGAGTAACTAAGTGTAAATTTTATATTATATCCAATACTTTAACGCCCTTCACTTGTGGGGTTAGAAATTTGCACGAGACACAACAAATAGTTATCAATCTTAATTGGGGAGGAAATGACATTATAGAGATTTGAACATGAACTTCTACTCTGATACTATGTAAAGATACCATTGATCCGAAAGTTGATAGATTATGATAAATTTAATATTGTATTAATTCTTTAAAAGTGACCCTAAGACAAATGAAGTTTAAGGAAAAGGGAGGCACCTACCTTAGAAGAAATTGTAGGGAGCATGGCGTTACGTTCTCGTACGAGATGTCCATCCCTCCAAAAAGTCAAATTAGCCCGTGGCAACAACAACCCCGGGTCAGTACACAGGCACTTAACATCAGGACCAATCTTTTCGATTACTTCAAACCTCACCATTCCACCATCAACAAGGAGATCATCACCAACTCTCACATCTACACAATATCAATTACAATTCAAGATTGATAACACACCATGGAATTTACTATAATAATGATCACAGACATCCGATCCACATATGGCATGCCCAAATACTATATGTATAGTTGATTGTGAATGAATTCAGTAAATGTCAGAGCAAAATTTTGATCTAAGGATAGAATCAGTAACCTTCTGCAAACCCTTCGTAGTTCACATTAATGGTGCGTTCTGGGAGTGTTGAATCAAAAGCTCTGACACTGAATGTCCAGATTTCACCATCCTATATAGAACAGAGCAAGCAGTTATACACGTCCTTAAAAGCCCTTTCACAAGTACACAACTCGCTTAATGATGAAGGACCCATCTAATTTGAAATCCAAATGTTTTTCTGCTTGTAAATCAAGAACTTAACAATGTCCTCCAATTGGGAGCCAGACAAAACCCAGTGAAGTTTTTAAATCCAGGACACATATTAGCAAAGATTCGACCGGTTGTGATTCAATAAGATGGAAAAAGATAAAGAACAGAACAGAACTCACTTCCGCTTTAGCCGAGGAAGCTCCACCAAGATCACCCATATGAATTTCACTCCCTTCAGTATCCATCATAATAGCCACAGCATAGCCCTTCTCCTCATTGAGCCTGCGCACGCGTTCAATGACCATCCGATGCCACTCTCGAGTTCCATGGCACATATTGATCCTCGCAACATTCATACCGCCAACAGCAAGCGCTTCAAGCTGCTCAAATCCGCAAGTAACAGGACCAATAGTACACACAAGCTTCGTCCTCCTTGTACTCCTGAAGCCATTCTCCTTCAACTCAGCCTCCGTGACAGTATCGACGTCAATCGAGCTGCCATCAGACACAGCCGGCACAAACTCCCTGGTAGTAGCAGAAGTAGACACAAACCCACCTCCGGAACTCGAACCATTTTCAGAAACCAAGACTTGGGAAGTGGAAGCTGATGACAGAGGGTTGAGATCCGGAGAGGAAGAGGCTCGAATTGAAAATTGGTTGAAGGAGACAGGGAGGCGGAAGGTGGCGGTGGAAGAGGAGGGGGGTTTTGAGAGGGAATGTTTCGAGAGAGAAATGGGCGGAGAGCGGGTGGTGGAGGAGGTGAAAAGTTGCAGAGATTGTGCCATTGTGAGGGGAATTTCGAATTTGGAGAAGGAAATGGAAAGTGAGAAAATGGAGATGGTGATTAAAGCAGAGAGAGGTACGGAGATTCCAAAGGAATACGAATTATTTTGGTGTTGATAGCTTCGGAATTGCCGCCGGATGATCGACGGCGGAAAACGTGTTACAGATTTCGCACTGTAATCGAATGGGTTGGATGAGGTTTATTATGAATACTTCCTTTTTTTTTCGTTTTTATTTAATTTCAATAATTATGAAACCAAGAAAATATATAATATAATAAACTTAATTAATTTTGTTACTTAATTTTGATATATTTATATATATGTGTGTGTTTATATTTATATATAAAAATTAAGGCGGGTCATGATTTCATGATTTGGACGGGATTAGAGGGAGATGGAAAATATAATCCTAATCCCGCGCATTAATTTTTCTCCACTCCCTCTCTTGTTATTGACCTTGATAGATTAACTTTCATATTAACCCTCCAATTATACTCCCTAATTATAAATTTTGAATTAATCAGAATTTGTAACAAGAAAAGAAAAAAAAAAAAATACTGTAACCGCTCAAGCCCACCGATAACCACCAATAACAAATATTGTTCGCTTTTGCACGATACATAACGGGCTAGAGTGGACAAGAACATTGGCTCCCAAAAGGGTAAATAGTTTGGGTAAATAGTTTGGGAAGGGAACAAAGCATTTCTTAGAAAAGTGTGAAAACCTCTCCCCACACGACGATATGTAACAGGCTAAAGCGTACAATATCTACTATTTTCACGTAATATCTATTTATAAACTCGAAACCGTATCATACTAGAACATTAAAAAAATCATGTTCGAAATGAACTGAGCTGGCCCTAAGACTCCCGGGTATAAAGATGATAATTTGCTTAAATGTTTTCTATATAGTGATATCCCAAGAAAGAATGTGCAAAGGGGAAATGGAAAACCTTTATGGAAAGTATGTTCAAATGAATTCAACATTGGTTTGGAAAAGCTATTCACAATCGTCGTTGTCGTTGTCGTTGCCATCGTCGTCATGTTCTCCCAATCTATATGAATCCAAAGAGAAATCGTAACAGCCTCACAGCATCCAGCATCGGCAACCTTTCGAATCTTGCAGACCTTCGAACCATCGATCCCATAGCGGATTAAGAGGGCCACGGGTTCTGCAACCAACCAAGAACAGAGACAGAACAGGAAGATTAAGTTTGAAGGTCAATTTGAATGTAAAGAAAGAACAGAGATGATCCTACAGTGGAAGAAGTGGGTCTGGTCTTGTGTCCATATTGCTCAGCATTCTGGCAGGTTCAAAAACAGCAATTTCACAAATGAATTGGAGAGTTTCATACTTTGTTTGGGTATGTTTATGGATACTCAATTCAGCAGATCCCTAATAAATTTTATCATCCTTACTCTTTGCATTTTGTTGATGCCTTCTCCAGTTTTTCTACCTGTTCCACTTCTTCCTGCATTAGAATTCCATTCAATACAAGAATCAATGCTAAGAACTGTAATAAAAAAGCCCAATAAACTTTACTTTAGCTTAATAATTAAAACTTTTGATTCTAGTCGTGATTTAACGGGCTTCTAAGATTCGATATATTGAATGTTATTCACTCGATCCCACGTTGGTTGAGGAGAGAGACGAAACATTCCTCGTAAGGGTATGAAAACTTCTCCCTAGTAGACGCGTTTTACTTGAGGGAAAGCCCATAAGAGAAAGCCTAAAGAGAACAATATCTACTGGCGGTTGGCTTAGGCGGTTATAAATGGTATTGAAGCCAAATACTGGGTGGTATGCCAATAAGGACATTGGGCTGGAGTGGATAGTGAGATACCATATTGGTTGAAGAGGGGAACGAAGCATTCTTTATAAGGGTGTGGAAACTTCTCCCTAATAGACGCGTCGAAATAGAATTTATTGGTTGAACTTGGGCCGTTACAACGATAGAATTTGCTCGTCGAAGGGGGAACAAACAGGAAAAACAAGGAACAGCATTCTTAATTTTGATCCTTAAGATTGAAACAGAGCCAACATTTCTCAATTTCACCACCTTAATTTTCCAGCTTTAAGAACAAAGATAATCTGCTTAACTCTAATGGTTAGAACTGAGAATCATATTCAGAGATTTTGAGAGCACAAATCACAGTGCCACTAAACAAGGACACTTATATAACCCACAAATTTTCACAGTTCCCCTGTAGAACTATCAGAACAGAATCAAAGTAAACATGAACACCTTCAAAACAGAGCTAATTCACATTACAGTTCAAGCTCCAATCCAAATTTCACAAGTTCCCAATTCAGAAATGGACGTCTAAACATTTGGGAAGTAATAATTCAGCACAACACATTCAAAATCAAACGCGATCAAAAGCCTCAAACAAAAGAGACAAAAGGGACAAACCTCCAGGAACCTTGCTTCTAGCTCGAGCCGCTTCACTTCAGCCTGAATCCTATGTTTTCCTCTGGTATCAGTAGACGAAGAAGAAGATGATGATAGAACCCGTTGGGTTGTCGGGCTCGCCGATTCGAACATACCCGACTACTCCTCAATTACAAGAACCAAAAATTCAAAACCCTAAACGTATAATCCACTCGCAGGCAATAAAGATTAAAGAAACGCCATTAGAGACGAAAATGAAGAAGACCCACAAGCGATAATGGCGATTCCATGACCCCCTTTTGCTGTAAGTGATGGATTTAAACAGCGAGAGAATTTCGCAGCCGCTAAGGGTCAGTTCTTTTGGTGGGCTGTTTTACTAAGCGTTGTTTCGACCCTTTTCAGGCCAGCGAAGAAGAAAAGGCTGGATTTCTTTGTCAAAGTGTAAGAACAAATCCCACTTTGTCTCTTTGTGGGTTGTTTGTGGAGGACAGACTGTTGAATCACACAGAGGGAGTACAGAGCACAATGACTGAAATTGGCGGCTAAAATTAGGGTTCTTCCAAGATTTTGAACATGATTTTGCAGGTGTTTTGTTTTGGATGTATTTTGGGAAATGTCAAATCATTAAAACTGTTCAAATTAACATGCTTTAAAATACATAATTTAAGATTAATTAATGAAATTAAAATTAAGTCTTAGTTTTTTTTTTTTGATTAAGCTATGAACTTAACGGGTATGAAATAAATATCATCCCTTAATAATAAGGTTTACCTAATTAAGAAAATGATAATGATGGAGGATACTCCACCCATTCGTTTATTAATTAAGATGTCACTTTAATTAATCAATTGAATTCAATTAAGATATAATTTATTGATGAGGTTAATATTATTAGGTGGTTAACATTTTAGGTTTAAAAAATACATTTCAACCTAAAAAAAGTTCATTAATACCTTTCAACTTTTTTTAAAAAAATTTAAAATATTCTTACCGTTAAAAAAAATACTTATAAAAATCTAAAAAGTAGTTTTAGCATCCTTTATGGAAAAAAAAAAAAAAATTTTAAATTGTTGTCGATTATGGATAAAAAATTGTCTATCAACACTTCATAGATTATTTACGAACATTTTAATATTATTTTGAAAAGTTTATGAGTTGAGTAAATGTTTTTTTTAATTAAAAAAAAAGTTAAAAAAAGTAATAATAAAAGGATGTTTTTTAAAATTATTCCATATTGGATACTATTTTTTAAACAAAATAATAACTATTTTCATTAAAAAAAATGATAAGTATATATATTTTTAAGTTCAAAAAGTTTTTTTTTTTTAAAGTTTAAAGATGTTATTGAAAAAAGTATTGGCGACAATTTTATAAATATTTTTATTAATTTGACAAAAATAAACTGAAAATGAAAGCCTCCAAAAGGAAGTAAGAGACAAATATAGAGTTTTCATAGATAGTGACGAATAGTGTAGCCACTTTGTTGAAATGAACCGTAGACACTTGAGCTTGAAGTTTGTTCGTGTACTTCATAAGAGAAATTGGGGAATGGTATAACCTATAAGACTAGCGAAATTGATAACGTGTGAGGACGGTTTAATGTTTAAGTAATAAGATGAATCTCAAATCTACAAATATGAGTTCGACAACTGTTAATGTAAACACAGACGCTCGTATAAATCGAGTTTAGGGTTTTAAGTAGTAGCAGTTGGTCCAAAAAAATCTACGATATATGAACGTTAGTTGAAGCAGTGGAACAACATGGTTCTAACAGAATTTACAACCATCGAAAAGTAGAGATTGGAAGACGAACGAAGAAAATGATTTTCCCCATTTATTTTGATTAGAATTGGAAGAGAAATTAACTACTTTCATTTTTTTTTTTTTGGAAGGACTAACCAATAGTGTAATTAAATACAAAACGTAGTGATATATTTGGTAAATTTAAACTTTAATATGTATAAAAAAAATATTTTTAAAATTATTGTGTCACGGGCTTTGATCTTTAAAGGAATAGTTTTTTTTTTTGTTTTGAAAAAATACAAGAATCATTTTTGTTTTTTACTTTTAAAAAGAAAATAAAATCGAATATATTTTTTTGACATTTTAAAAGTCATATTTAAAAGTTTAAATAAATAAAAATTAATCTAATTTTTTGATCATGCCAATTTAATTTTAAAAAAAATAAAATTTGAATTAAATTAGTAACAAAAAGTAAAAAAGAAGGATAATCGTGTGGATATAAATGCTTGGTGTAGTTTAAATATTTAAAATTTATTAAATATAATTGGTTAAATTATTATATTTAAAAATTTGGTTGTTTTATATTTTTCTTTTTTTAGTTTTAACAAATTTTGAAATTTTGGACGGTTAGAATTAGTTGGAAGCAGTAGGCAAAAACGCCAAAAAAAGAAGAACCCTCCGGCATGACAGTACGCAACGTGTCACCGTCCAAACTATGCTAATAAAGAAACAGTTATTTGAAAGAAAAGTGACCGGCGGGTAACGGCATCGCAGCCTTTCTTCCATTTCAAGAAATTTTCTCTCTTCCATTTCCCGAGGGATAGGTGGGTGTATCGTGGGGGGATGAAGAATGGCATCTACAAATCAAATCACCGCCTGAAATCCAACTCAGATTGAAGAATTGCATTTCCGACTCAATGGCGTTCCGGTTAGGAGCTTTTCCACGCGCCACCGTGGCCTCTCACTTTCCCCTACTCAACCGCAAAAACTTTCTCGTTCTCCCTCTGGAACTTCAGGTTGAGATTCGGCGCGCTATAGGCACGCGGAGACTGAGAATTAGGGTTTCGGATGGAGGAGAATCGTATCTCGGGATGTGGAAGAACGCGGTGGATCGTCAGAGGAAAGGCATAGAGTTTCAGAAAGTTGTGGAGAATACTGTGGGAAATGTCGATTATGATGGCGGTGATTCAATTGCTGATCAGTTGGAGAAGAAGAGCGATGATTTTAGTAAGATTCTTCAGGTGCCGAGAGAGGAAAGGGATCGGATTCAGCGGATGCAGGTCATACATCGAGCTGCTGCTGCCATTGCAGCTGCTCGTGCACTGGTCGGTGAGACTGGATTTGTTGCAGAGGCAGAGGCAGAGGCAGAGTCGAGTTCGCGTGATTCAGATCTTTCTATAAATTTGAATCTTCGGAATGACGGTGGATTGCTAGAGCGGGAAGAAGGTATAATTAATTGAACGATTGCATCTTGAAGGATTGATCTATTTTGTTGACTACAAAGCTCTACAGTTTTAATAATATTAGTTGAGCTCAAGTTACATATTATATCAATTCTTGGCTCTTTTCTCTACTGTATTTGACTTTCTTTCAAGTTGAAACTTCGAATACAACTAAATAGACTTTCATGTTTGATTAGCCAAATCTTCACTGAGTTTCAAGTCCAGAAAATCGATTAATTAATGCAGATCTGTAATCAATCTAATGGAGAAAATTATGGCAGTGTTGACTAGTATGACTAGAAATTAATATAGAACTAGTATTATGGTGGTTCAGTTTGTCACAAAAACAATTTCATGGTTATGTGGTTGTTCAGATTCTCATACTAGTTCTTTCTTTTTCTGTTTGTTTATTGTTCTTTATTCATCTAGATCTATCTGAATTTCAAAGTGAGAACACCCTGCTACCTGAGTTAGAAACTTCACAAACTGGAACACCTGGTCCAGATTTCTGGTCTTGGACGCCCCCTCCAGATAATGATAGGAATGATACTACTTCCAGTGAATTGCAACCAGTTGGAGAATCACAGGCATATCCAATGTTATCCAATTTTGTTGAGGAGAAAGAGCCACCGGTCGGCTTTCTCTCTATTCCATTTCAGAGCAAACACTCTGAAAGCAAACTCAAACCTCTTCTACCACCCTTTCAATCATCCGTGGTTGTCGAAAAATTAGAAGCATCAGAATCTAGTACTGAGACACATTCCATGGAAGAAGGTGCAAATGTTGGGATGGAGTTTTTGGTACAGGCAGCAGAAGCATCACAGGCACTTAGTATAGATAAGGAATCAGCGGAAGGAATAGAATCTGATGGTTCACGTTGGTGGAAGGAGACGGGAGTTGAGCAGAGACCAGATGGAGTGATTTGCAAGTGGACACTAACCAGGGGTGTTAGCGCAGACCTAGCCACTGAGTGGCAGAACAAGTATTGGGAAGCTGCTGATGAGTTTGGCTACAAGGAACTTGGTTCTGAGAAATCGGGTCGTGATGTGTACGGAAATGTTTGGCGTGAATCTTGGAGGGAATCTATGCGGCAGGTCAGTTTGAATTGTTACTGATTTTCTTGCTTCTATTGCATTATCCTTGTAAAATATTTGCTTTATGCATCAGTTAAAGTCTCAATAATCTATTTATGTCCATCTCCAAGGAAAAAAAAAAGATTAAATAGTTTGTTTTATGCACTAACTTCAAGTGCTTAAGGGTCAGGGCACATCCAAAAGCTAGTTTGATACCTTTGTAAATGAAGTTATATCACTCTTTGGATATTGCGAGATGATGGAAATGCCTTTATTAGTGTGTAATGTACAATGTGTCAGTTGATATCTAACCGATTCTTTTGTCTTTGATATTTTAAAAGGATTCACTGATATTTAGATGTGTGGAAATGACAGGAGATCCACCTCTATAGTGGATCCCTCAACACCTTGTAGCTAACGCCTGATTCATAATTTTCATCTCTGCAGAAAGCATAGTTTTTTATGACCTTAACCGAACCAACTTTCTTTCAGGAGCAAGGCATTGTGCACCTAGAAAAAACTGCAGACAAGTGGGGTAAAAATGAAAGTGGCACTGAATGGCAAGAGAAATGGTGGGAATATTATGGTGGCTCTGGTCAGGCTGAAAAAAATGCTCATAAATGGTGTAAAATTGACCCGAACACGTATATCGATCCTGGTCATGCTCATATCTGGTGCGAAAGGTATAATTTTTTTTTTCTTTCAAACGTTTGTGATGTAAATCAACTATTGTTCTTGCTGTCCTCTTGACTTGGCCTTTTACAATGCATTCTCGATCTTCTGGTTCCTTTTTCAAGATTTTGTACATTTAATACGGTGGCAATACTTGCTTCTTAAGAATTTGTCTATGTCGATCTGCTTTAGCATGTAACTTTCCTCTTGCAGATGGGGGGAAAAGTATGATGGACAAGGGGGCAGCATGAAGTACACAGATAAATGGGCTGAACGTTGTGAAGGTGATGGTTGGACAAAGTGGGGCGACAAATGGGACGAAAACTTCGATCCAAATGGTCATGGCGTCAAACAGGGAGAAACATGGTGGGAAGGAAAGCACGGAGAACGTTGGAATCGAACATGGGGCGAGGGCCACAACGGTTCAGGCTGGGTTCATAAGTATGGAAAGAGTAGCAGTGGGGAGCATTGGGACACACATGCCCAGCAGGAAACCTGGTACGAGAGATTCCCACACTTCGGCTTTTATCACTGCTACAACAATTCAGTCCAGCTCCGGGAAGTTCAGAAACCATCTGAGAGGTCGTAGTAAGTCTTTTTTTCTTGATGCCAAGTGGAAATAAAAGCTTTTAGTAAAGCTCATTTTGAAGAAATGAATTGAATGCTTAATTAGGATGGTTACCTTTTTCCTTGCATTGTACATTTAAATAAACCTAGCACTGATATTAGATATCCTCTTGAGACAATAAACTAGCTTACTTTCTTTCCCAACATCAATGCTAGTTGTACATGAAATTATCTGCCTTGAAATTAGTCATAAATGTAGTTACTTCTCAAAGCCAGATGTGACATGCAGCTAGAACCTTATTATCATATTATTAGAAGCAAAGTTTAGTTATACTCTTATGTATGCCTAAGATTGATCAGGTTGTGATTGTGACTATCGACTTATTTTCGAAGAAGTACTCTCAACCAGGGTCAACCTTGAAACTTCTTCCCAAGTTTCCAGGCGAAGCCTTTGCACTTTCTTAAAAGTATACTTGGGACATGATTAGTTTACCATTTTAATCCAAAAAAAACGGTGAGGTTAAGAATAGAAGGGTCGGAATAAGATAATTTTTTTTTTTTTTTTTTTTGAAGTAGCTGCAATTTCATCGGATGGTCTAGAATTACCTACGTTAGAATAGGCTGCTAGGGGTACAGAATTGCTAACATTTTAATTAGCCTGCTAGGGGTACAGATTTGCTAACATTTTAATTAGCCTGCTAGGGGTACAGATTTGCTAACATTTTAATTAGCCAGTATGTTTGTTTGCCATCGAATGCGTACCAACTATGATCGAATTAGTAAGTGCAGCACTATCCCTGATTCTGATTGAATTAGTAAGCCCTGATTCTGATTGAATTCTGATTGAATCAGTAAGCCCTGGTTCTGATTGAATCAGTAAGCACAATATGATATGAAGGTAAAAAACAGTCTCTTTAGATTCAATTCAAACTCTTTTTTGATGCACGAAGGAACTAATTAGGACAGGAGGTTAATTACCAAGATACCCCCAAGCAAATCGGGAACTACCTACGATTTAGTACCCTTGGAGTAATCGAGTGGGAGGCTAGTTTCATTGCTATGGAAGAGTTTGATTTTAATTCCAATAGAAAACAGGAAGCAAGGACAATAGTGTTCCAAATTCAAACTTCAAACTTCAAACTTCAGCCACAAACCTATTTCCTGCCATGTTCTAACTCATGGAATACTAAATTTGGTACCTTTTTTTCAACCTTGACTCCACCACAACCTAACCTAAACCCACACTCATATTTTAACACAAAATCTATAAATTTAGTTTTTATTTTTTAAATAACAATAAAATGAATCCATTGTTAATGCAAACATGAAAATAGAGAGAATTGGAAGGTGGAAAACCGCGTACTATTTCAAGTACATTTTTTCTTGCTTTTATTTTCAAAGGCGTTGGCCCCTCATTTCTTTTTCTTTTTTTTTTAATAATTACCAAACTTGTTAACCAAGCTTCTATTTTCCTTTTTCTTATTACAAAAATTTTGATTCAAAGGAGAAATTGCCAATATAATCCCCTCAACCTGTCATCAGTCACATATTTCACATATTCATAGAATATATGGTCAATAAAATATTTTTCTAATTGCATACCTGATAAAAGATTAGACCTTTTGATATTTTGGTCAGAAATATAATATTATTGACGTAAGATCAACTTATTTATTAAATACAATATGAATTGACTACATCCTAATGAAAATAAAACGGTTGAGAAAGACTTAAAATTAATTGAAATTACTACCTATTCCAATAAAGGTGCTTCATATCACTAATGCCCACTTTCGTATCTACTCAACATGTGGGTCTGGCGGTCAAGCTCGTTTCTACCTTTACACTCGAGGGTCAATCTCGGTTTAGCCCAAAGAAACCTTTGAGGAGGCCTACGCCCCATAGAAATTGTCTACCTAAGAATGTCCCTTAGCTCATAAATCATGATGTAAGTCCTGACACAAGATTAGAATTCTTGCCGTTCGATATCTTACTTATGGCTTGGGCCCGGACATTAATAGCTAAAATTTATATTTGATTTTGTTAAATTTTAATCATTTTAATAATTGGGTTTTGGGAAATTTTTGTATTTAAGGGTTTGGTTGTGTGGTTCTTCAATACCCACACAAGGCTTCTCTCTCGCTCGCTCTGTATCTCTGTGTGGATCTCTGAAGCTTCTGTTAATGGAGATGGGCGAAGGTCTTACCAGACAACAAATGGATCAGCTTCAAGAAGTTTTTCATCTATTTGACAGAAACGGAGATGGTGGGTCACTTTCTTTCTTCCTTTCTTTTCCCCTAACATCATCATCCAGTTCAATTCATCTCGTTTTTTTCTGAATCGAACCAAGCAGGTTGCATAACCCTTGACGAACTAAGAACAGAGATCCAAAAATTCGATTACAATCTCACAGAAGAAGAACTCAAGGACATGATTAACGAAGTCGATGCTGATGGAAACGGAACCATTGAATTCGGGGAGCTCCGAAATTTGATGTCCAAAACCTTCAAGGTCTGTCTCATTTCTTTCGATTCCCCTGATTTTCAGTTTTTTTCTTGTTGTTCTTGTTCAAAGCCGAGTCTGTCCTGTTTTTCAGGAAGAAACAGAGGAGAAACTCGAAGAAGCCTTCAAACTGTTCGACGAAAATCAAGATGGATATATATCAGCAAACGAGGTAAGAGCGCAAAGATCTGGTTCTTCTGTGATCAAATTCATATTCTTCCCCTGTTTTTGAGAAAATCCATCAAAATCTTTCATGTTTTTTTGGCAGCTGAGCAGTGTTCTTCGGATGCTTAATTTGGGGGAGAGGTTAACATACGAGGAGATTCAGCAAATGATCAATGATGCTGATTTGGATGGAGATGGGCATGTTGATTACCATGAGTTCGTCAACATGATGACGGAGTATTGGAAAAAAGCTGATGATGAATCAGAAATCCTACCATAAACAAGCTTAGTTTAATGAGATTCATAAGAATCAAAGTGTTTGAGTCAAATAATTTGTAGTTTAATCTTTTACAAGATAACCCTTTGTTTGATTTGTTCATTTCTCCATTACTCTGTTTTAGTGAAAGAAGGAAGCTGAGGAAGTGTATGAGAAATTTCTGGTTTGAATACAAAGAAATGATTGGCCTTTTTTAGAAATTTGTTCGATTGTACCTTTTTAACTTGAGATCAAGAGCTGCAGGCTGTGTGGTTTGTGTCTAATCATTGTTTCAACATGAACTAGAAAGCTTGTCCAAATCTGTCAAACTATTTTTACTAAATTTGGTCTGATTTTTGAGTTCTTGATTCGATATGAACACGAAAAAATCAAGGGCTGATATACTGATACTTTAGCAGATGAAACTCCCATTGTTTGTTGGAACCAAGCTGTTGTAGTACTCGACCGATACGCTCCAGTCATCGGGACACATGAATCGAACAGGAGGATTCTCCTTATTCCTTACATAATTGGGGAACGAAACATTCTTTATAATGGTGTAAAAACCTCTCCATAGCAGATATGTTTTAAAAACCATGAGGGAAAGTCCAAAACGGAAAACTAAAAAAAAACAATATCTATTGGCGGTGGGCTTGGACTGTTATAAATGATACTAGAGACAAACAGTGGGAGTTGTGCTAGCAAAAATGTTGAACCCCCTAGGGGTCAAGCAGCCTCCCTAGCACACCGCCCAGTGTCTAGCTATGATACCAGTTGTAACAACCTTAGCCCACCGTTAGATATTGTCCTCTTTGGACTTTCCCTCCTAACTTTCCTTCAAGGTTCTAAAACGCGTTTGTTAGGAAGAGTTTTTCATACCCTTATAAAGAATATCTCGTTCCTCTCTTCCATTAACGTGAGATATCACACGCAGGTAACAGAAAAGTTTGAGGTTTGTAAGTAGGTAGAAAGGAAGGATGTTTAAGTGCTCTAAGCTAGGAGCCATGGTCTGCATCATATAGATCCCACTTCTCTGTTGGATGCCTCATGCCTGCAGGATCTCGCCTGCTCCTGCATTGATCCTTGCCTTGGCGTGCCACTGCATCTCGGTTGGACCAGCGTGGTGCATCGCCGATAGGAACATGGAGATGATGATCGTCTCGGGATCAAGAACACCATCCTCAAGAACCCAAGTCAATTTCGTATGTTAATAAGAAGTATGCAAAATAGTCCTTACAAATGCATTACATCGAACCACACTCGTAAAACGCTAAATTGAGTTCTCATTGTAAACCGTTACAGAAACGTAAATTTTTTTTATAAAATAGGACAAAATTCTCTAAACATTCAAATCTTCGGGTACTTTTCAATTTTTTTATTTAAAATTTACGTCTACATGGCTCTTGACTAGTACATATATTAAATATTAAATAACAAATCTATATAATAAGATAGAATTTAATTGAAAGATTATTAAATGAATTTCTTAAAATTTCTTAAATTTGACTTTTCATAGAAATGCCGAACAAACTAAAATTATTTTTTTTTTAAGTAAGAATTTAATTTTAATTTCTAAAAACTGTGAAAATAGTGTTTGAATTTTTTTAAAAGAAAAAAATCTTTGATTACATGTTCAAATAAATTTGGAAAATTTAAAAGTTCTTACATTGCAACTTTAAATATATTTAATAAAAAAAACTAGGTCAAACTCAATTTCTTAAATGGGTTAGGCACAACGTTTTTAAATTAAAAAAATAACAAAATAAATATATATATATTTTTAATTCACCAATATATTTGACTATATAATAAAATATTGCATTGAAAATTTTGAAATATTCAAAGCAATTAACAGAGAATAATTCTTCCAAAACAAATAATAAAATAGGGAAAACATCCAAAAATACGAAACTAAAAAAAAAAAAAAAAAAAAA